CTTCTTCTTCTTCTTCTTCTTCTTCTTCTCTACTGCTTTCGTCTCAATTGACTGCTCTCCTCCCCGCCGAACCCCCCACTCCCACAGACAGACCGCAGACAGACAGCATCATGGGCGAGATGTCCAAGGCCGCCAACAGCGCCGAGATGGCAAAGCGCAAGAGACCGAGTAAGCCAGCCTGACTCCTCCGTCGCATCTCCTTTGTCTCTGCCTGCTCGTCCTTTTTGGCCGTCCGTCGGCTTCTTCGCTGGTCGGCGCTGTGCTGCTCTGAGTCGCCGTTGGGCAGAGATTTTCCCACCACCAACTGAACTGACACATCACCAACTTCACCAACCTCATCTATCACCAACATCTCTTCTCATCACCAACTTCTCTCATCACCAACATCTGCCTGTCAACACTCCAGCCATCGCTTCAACAAGATGGCCCAGCTAAAGCCGCCGGTCTTAGGAACCCAGTCCTGCCCGCCGCCCGAACTGCCCCAGCTCGTCGCGGAGCAGCACGTCCCCGTCTCCGCCCAGGACAAGGACAGCAAGCGCCTCATCGTCGTCCTCTCCAACGCCAGCCTCGAGACCTACCGCTCCTCGCACGGCGGCGGCGGCAGCGGAGGACCCGGACGTGCTGCGAACGGCCGCGAGGAGAAGTACTCGCTGCTCAACTCCGACGAGCACATCGGCATCATGCGCAAGATGAACCGCGACATCAGCGAGGCCCGGCCGGACATCACCCACCAGGTTTGCCCTCATCGTCTCAGGCGATATACACTTATCTCTTTTTTCTTTTTATCTACGTACAGACTGGTAGTAATGGTTTGTAGTGCCTGCTCACCCTGCTCGACTCGCCCGTCAACAAGGCCGGGAAGCTGCAGATATACATCCACACGGCCAAGGGGGTGCTCATCGAGGTCTCCCCCACCGTCCGCATCCCTCGCACCTTCAAGCGGTTCGCGGGCCTCATGGTCCAGCTGCTGCACCGGCTCTCCATCCGCTCCACCAACTCCGAAGAGAAGCTGCTCAAGGTCATCAAGAACCCCATCACAGACCACCTGCCGCCCAACTGCAGGAAGGTCACGCTGAGCTTCGACGCCCCCATCGTGCGGGTGAACGACTACGTCAAGACCCTGGGGCCCAAGGAGAGCATCTGCGTGTTTGTCGGAGCCATGGCCAAGGGGCGAGATGACTTTGCAGACGCCTTCAAGGACGACACCATCTCCATCAGCAACTTCAGTCTCAGCGCCAGCGTCGCCTGCAGCAAGTTCTGCCACGCCGCAGAGGACGCATGGAACATTGTCTAAGTATGCTCGTCATACTCTTATATCAGAGGGATATACTAACAGTGTACCAGTTACGGTTTGTTGTTTGAATGCTAACGTAGGTCGACCAGCATCTATCTCTTCAACATCCGAGGATACTCGTATACCACCCAACCCATCGACAAAAGACAAGATGCCAACACGCAATTCTCCACTCGCCAGTGTTCCCCAGGCCAGATTGTCCACCAAACTGGCGAGGCTCGAGCCAATGATACCAACATCAACGGCTGCAAATATTTCCATTTGATATGATTCATGTACTCTATCTGGCCTGGGAGCATCTGGCGGTGGGAGTTGTCTACCACTGGACTTTTCTTTCTTTCTCTCTCTTTCTCTTTCTCTTTCTCTATTCTTCCTCGCTTTTTGAATATGATATGATATGATGATGTTGCTGGGTCTCGTTCTGTTTTTGCAACCAAAACACGAACACGGGCGGTTCAACAGCCCTGGGTCAACAACATACAAACACAACTCACAAACACAACTCACAAAACGCAAAAAATTGGATTTGGAAAAATGGGAAAACAGCATCACGGCGTTGGAGTGGTCTCTACTTTTTGTCTACCTATCTATATCTGTCTGTCTGTCTATAGGGCTGCCCTCAGCACTCCACACTGATATACTACAACTACTCCAACTACAACTTCAACTTCTTCAACTTCAACTACTTCCGACTATTTCGACTTCCTCACTGTAATACATCTCACCGCTGCTCGGCTAAAGTAACGCTGTCATTAATATAAAAACTAACCGGCATCCGACTGGACCAGCCTCCTTTTCCCACGGATCCTCACCTTCTACTCCACCACCCGCAATCCACCCAAGTTACCGCTTCTTCCAGATAATAAATAATGACAATCAACAAACAGCTCCATCCGCGGGTTTACTGAGTTAGCGAGCCAGTGAGTCAGTCAATGGAGCTGGCAAAAAAGAAACGCTCCCTCCGACTACTTGTCCCTCTGCCTATCCCGACCCTGACCCCGGCTTCGTCAGGCGTGGATGCAGGTCGAGCAAGGCCACCGCCTCATCTTTGCTGCACCTCAAGACCGCCCGCCAGCCAATAGAGGATGGACCGCCTTACCCATCTCTTACTCTCTCTTGACGCTTGCATCTGAAACTCTGAACTCTTGGTCTACACTACGGATACTCTACGGATAACCAGGTAACTAGTTACTGGGGCGTCGTCTCCGGCTTCTTACCGCTGTCTTGCTCGCCACGGACATCGCCAGCCATACACTGCGCATCAACCAGCGTACCCCCAAACAACGGACAGGACAAGACAAGATAGACGACTCACGGCGTTGTCGACTGGGCCAAAGACATACCGTCGGGCATTCATCCTGCTAACTACTAGTACGCTTGTACTCGCTGGCTGGCTGGCTGGTTGGCTGGCTGCAACCAGCTTCCGCCAGAACTAGTTACTAGAGCCAGCCGACCCGACGGAGATCCGCCCTCCCCTTCATCCTCCTTCGATTCTGCTTCTGGCTCGTCTTCTCCTGCTTTGCTCCATGCATGAGCGTCTGATGGGCAGTGGGCAGAGTCCAACTCAAGGCCCCTCCCCGGCCGGGGATGGCAAAGCATACTTCACTGCTAGGCACATAGTTACATACGTGTATCCGCCAGACACCGCTCGATTGGTCCACGGAACACTCCCCTTGCCCTCGCGATGGGATGGGATGGGATGCCTCGTCAATGCTAAATTAATGCGAACGGAGGAATTAGCTGGCCAGAGCCTTCCTTTAGTTACTTGAGAGTTACGGCTGGGTACTCACGCTTATGCGATGCCTCACGCCTTTCCCGGCCCCTGGATGACAATCGATGCGTGGACCCAGACGCAGACAGGCACTGCATTGCGCTTCTTTTTTTTTTGCGATGCTCAAGTCAACTCAACTTATTTCGATATATCACTCTCTGCATGAATGAGTGGATTGGTGGGCTTCCGTCCGCTTGCTTGCTGGCCTCTTTTTTTTTTTTCTTGCTTCCTTTTTCTTCCCTTGCATTCGGAGAAGAATTGGTTGATATATTTAATACTTCCGCCCTTGGTCGAAAGTATTATATTGCTCTCCCTCCTTGTCTCTTTGTCTCCTGCTTTCTTGCTCTACTCTATATATCCTGCGTATATACGGGTGTATATACGGCTGCAAACAGAACAGTTTTCTCCCCTTTTCTGTTTGTTGTCTTGTCTTGCTTATATTACTTCTATCCCTCGTTCAAGACCCTCGTTGTCCCACCAGGCATTCGTTTGCTCGGTCATAGTTACTTACATATATATCAACACTCCCTACTCCGAGAAACTCACTCTACACTCCCTATCCTCGACACTAGCTCATAAATCTAAAATGCCCGTCTCCCACCTTACTCTCACTGTCTCGAATCTGCCTACCTCCACCTCCTTCTTCCTATCATGTCTCCAGCCATTGGGATACTGCTTCATGGGCCGCCATGAGAACAGCGTCGGATTCGGCACCGAGCCTGGCAAGCCTGCTGATTTCTGGATTGCAGAGGAGAGACCTGGGTATGACTTATTTCAACCCATACCAACCAATTGTATATATAAATACTAACTGCTAGTAGAGTCCCTGCTGGAGCTGCACATATTGCCTTTCCGGCTCCATCCCGAGACGCAGTCAGTGCATTCTTCATTGCCGCTCTCAAGGCCGGCGGCAAGATCCACGGCGAGCCTTGCGTGCGAGACGCCGAGCGGAACTACTTCAGCGCGGCCGTGATCGACTTTGACGGCAACAGCATCGAGGCCGTCCACCGCAACGACGCCCCCAGCGTTGCCCCCAGCCGTAAGGGCAGCGTCGTCAACGACAAGGCCCTCACCGTCGTCGACAATGGCTCCGTGGTCTCGAAGCATTCCACCAAGTCCAGGGCCATGACCGTTGCCCCCGCAAAGTCCGAAGTCAGCGTTGCCAAATCCAGAGCCATGACAGTTGCTGCTCCTGCAAAGTCAGAAGTCAGCTCTGCCTCGACTGCAAAGAGGATGTCTTCAAAGTCCGTCATGGCTCCCGCGCCCCAGCAGCCACAGGCCCCACGCCCGCAGCTATCCAGACAGGAAACCACCAGCACGACGACCACGACGAATGTCCACTACATCGTCACTAAGGAAAAGAGCGGTGACAACTTGTCCGGGGCAAAGGCGGTGGTGGGGACCCTCCTCGGCGCCGCTGCTGGAGCTGCTCTTGCATACGCCATGGTCAAGGGAGACTCGCAGAGCCAGCAGGAAACCATCACTCCAGTCACCACCACCCGCTACATCGAAGCTGCGCCGCCGCAATCCAGCCCCTCGGTCTCGGGCGGGAGTAATACTGGCTACCGTGGCATTGAAGCCGGCCAGCAACAGGGCCAGCTCGAAGACGGGTACGCTCGCAGCGCCGCCTCGAAGAACCCCTGGGCCAGCACCGTCTTCGAGGGCCTAGAACAAACCAGCCGCATCCTCGAGCAGGCCAAGAGCTTCACCGGCAGTGCTGCTGCTGCCGGTGGTTTCTTGCCGGGCACCCCTGGATCGACCTCTGGCTCTGAACGCCGCCCATCAGACGGAAGCATGTACAGCGGCGCCTCAGGGGATCTAGAGATCCGAGCTATCGAAGGCGTGCCCGGCGGTGCTGCGGACGACAGCAGATCCTCCTACTCTCGCACATACCCTCACTACCAGCCCAGCCCGAGCTTCGTCAGCAGCTTCCACGACCATCCTGACCGAGACCGCGGCGATGCCGGCAGCGCCTGTAGCTCCGGCAGCTGTGGCTCGCAGCGCCGCCACGGTCAGCAGCACTATGCAAAGAGCGTAGCCTCCAGCCAGGCCTCGGGCTCGACCATCAAGGCCAAATCCACCAAGGCCAAGTCAAGCTACTCCAGCCACTCGAAGCATAGCAGTAAGAACGATCGAGACCGCGGGATGCGCACCATCGAGGAAGACTACGGCTACGACTTCGAGCCCAGCGTGCACTCGTCCGTCCACTCGGCCCGCAACATCCCCTTGCCCGCCGGCTCGACCACGACCGTCTCCAAGCTGTCCATCCGCTCCAAACACTCGCACACTAGCAGCAGTCACAGCAAGCACTCGCATCACGAGTACGATCGTGAGCGTGAGCGTGAGCGTGAGCGGGACCGCCGCTCATCAGCTTCGTCTAGTCACCGCTCCTCCTCGCACGCCCACCAGATCCCGCTCCCGCCTAGTGTAGCGGGTGGTAGTGCGTTGTACCTGGAGGACATCGACGCAGGCTCACACGTCACTCCGCGGCCCATGTTCGAGACCGCCTCGACTTCCTCCAAGAAGTCTAAGCATAAGCGGTCCAAGTCGAGCAGTCGGGCAAGCCAGTCGGGCCATTCGAGCAGTGGACGCAGCAAGTTTGACGATCCGGTGCTGCCGAGTGATAGCGTCAGCCAGGTCGGCAGCTGTGTATCGAAGAAGAGCAGTAGGAGCAGGAGGTAGTTGAATGCCTTTCTACCCCTCCGTTGCAATGCATATTCAAAGGTGTCGGAGTAGGAGTTGATGTCCATGTCCATGTTCTCCATGCATTTACGTGGTGATTAATGATTGAAGAATCGCCGTGGTGGGCCGGGACGGGAGGCGATGGGGAGTTATTTCTTTTCTGTTTCTCTTTTTCATTTTACATAGTTATTCATCCCATACATATTTGCTTGAAGGAGTTTCTGTTGTTTTCATATATGTTTGTGATTAGATTGTCTACTAATGGTGTACTATGATCGAGTACTTTCAGCATGGCCAGCGAAATGAATACGAAAGATTAATGAGAACTACGGCATTTAATAACCCGAGAAGAAGACATAAGACGTAGCAAGCGTTAATATTTCTTGGTTGGCATGGGCAGACGTAACATAGCATAACTAACGTAGCATGATTGCACCGATGAAAAAAAGGGGGGATGGGGGGGATAGGTAAGGGGGGATGGGGGGAACAAGAGAAGGGAAGAGCTGACGCCCATAAGGCTGGTATTCCGAGCAAAGAGCAAGAAGGGTGTGGTTGGAGACATAGGTAAGACAGATGGAAGAGAGAAGAAGTAGAGGGATAGTTTTTTTGCAGTTTGATTTCGTAGCAGACAAAAGTTATTGCATGCTTCGACCATGGTTGAATAAAACGAATAATCGCCTCCCGTCCGTTCCCGTCACTGTCTGTCACACCACTGCACCGCAACGTCTCAGCTAGTAGTAAGCAGAAGTAGGCAGTAAAAGTAGAATAGGGCGAACTCCTCGGTTAAACCATGCTTCAATCCATGTAAACGATCAACGCCTTATTTTCTCGCACGAGTTACAACTAAAGAAAGGGAAGAGAGAAAAAGGTGTGTGTGTATGGCTCAAAGTGGATGGTTGCGCGTGGAGGGCAGGGTTGGTTGGTAGGTAGGTTTTTGGCACTCAGGGTAGCCAGGTAAGCAGTTGGGCCCGTTGGTTTGTTTGAGTAGAGTGAAAAGAAAAGAACAGCCCCCTAGTCATAGCATCATAGGGAGACAAGGGTATCAACCAATAGCATGTTTGCGTGTCCACTCGGCGGCGATTCTCTCATATTCTCCGTCCTTCTTCTTGTACAGGTGAGCTATCTCTGGAACGAGCGGGTCGTCTGGGTTGGGGTCTGTGAGCATCGAGCAGATCGAGAGAAGGACTAGCGGAAGTTAGCATCCAAGCAAAAGCAAAGAAGAGGAGAAAAACAAAAACACTAGGCTAACCCTTTGATATGGTGAGAGCAGGACTCCACTGGTCTCTCAGGATGTCGAGGCAGATGCTGCCGTTTGAGTTGATATTTGGGTGGTACACAGGCGTGGTGAAGTTGACCTTTGGTGGCTTGAAAGGGTAGTCTGTGGGGAAATGTATGGCGAGGAAGAAGACACCGCCAGCGTAGGGACTGCCCTCGGGGCCCATGATCGTAGCTTGCCAGTGGAACTGCCATATGTTAGCATCTCGGAGTTATATTGTCCGTAGCTGCAGAACAGAGCGGGGGTGCGTACCAGATCGTCTCCTATGGGACCAGCAGAGCAGGAAGAGGGGGGATCACTATATCAGAACAGTCAGAGGCAGTCCATATCACGCTGTATGCCGTGTATATCTGTGTATATATGTCTGGGAACCGGGTGGTCTCCTGCTAGACGCCGGACTCCACGGGGCTGGGGAAGCAAGCAAGCGGATGGGGGGTTAAGGAGAGACTGACCGTCCCAAGTCTGTGAGTTCCTTGTTGATGCGCTTGAGGGCCATGACGGCTGTCTGAAGGTGAAGTGTCTGAGGGAGAGGAGCGAGCGAGACCTGGGGTGGTCGTGGTCGTGTGCGTTCCGGCGGTGGTGAGTTTTTTCTCTCTTCGGTGGCTATGGCGGGGTTGGGTGTTAGCTGGTTCCGAGACAAGCGTGTTTTCCCTCTTCTTGCAGCCAGCAGAGGAGGAACGACGAGAGAGGGAGAGGGAGAAGCAGCCTGGCAGCGAGGCAGACAGCAAGGGGAGGTCTTTATATACCTGCGGGAGAAGCCTGGACTATCGTGAAGGTCGGTTCGTCGTCGCTGTTGATGTTTTTTTGCTGGTGAAGAAAAAGAAAGAGAAGAAAAAGCGAGAAAAAGCGAAGAAAAGGTGAAGGCTGACTAAGAGATGACTAATAGATAAGATAACAAGATGGATAGGGATAGGGGTAGAGTAGAGAAGAGAAGATGATAGAAGAAGATAGTAGAAGAAGAGAAGAGAGATGGAGTAGATGAAGACAGTAGATGGTTGGTAGAAGATTGTAGATGGTGGATGTAGATGGTAGATGGTGAAGTGGATGTGGTAGAGTGCTGTCTATGTATATGTATATGTATGTATATGGATATGGATATGGATATGATATGGACTATATAGGGGTACAGAGTACTATACAAAAGCCTGGACGCCGGTGATGGCTCGTCCAAGGATCAGACCTGGATAGTCAGTAAGTTAGCATGTATGATAGTAAATATAAGTAGAAGAATAGTGAAGAACTCACTGTGGATATCACTCTGGCCTTCGTAGGTCTGGGTAACGAACAGGTTGGCTACATGTCTGCCAATATGATACTCGTCACTCGCAGCATTGCCGCCAAAGATCTCCTGTAGCGTCCGCGAGCCAGCCAGGGCCCGGTCACAGTTCTGCCGCTTGATCATGGATATCATCTCCGGCACAGCCTTGCCCTCGTCCTTCAGCCGGGCCACCTGCACCGCCGCCAGCGTTCCATACGCCGCATCCGTAGCAGCGTCCGCCAGCTTCTTCTGCACCAGCTGGTACTTGGCCAGCGGGTTGCCCTTGAACTGCTTCCTCTCCAGCGCATACTCTCGTGCCCGGCTAATACAATCCTCCAGCGCCCCCATCGTACCAAACGCGATGCCCAGCCTGGCGCTGTTCAGACAGGTAAACGGTCCCACCAGGCCCGTTACTTCGGGAAACATGTTAGTTTCGGGGACAGGACAGTTGTCCATCTGGATCATGCCTGTGATCGAAGCTCGCAGGGCAGTCTTGTTCTTGATAGCAGGCGTCCTGAGCGTTCCCTCGGGACACTGGTCTCGCTCGACCACAAACCCGCGTATCTTGCCGTCGAGTTTGGCCCAGACCAAAAAGGCGTCTGAGATGGGCGAGTTGGTGATCCAGGTCTTGGTTCCAGAGAGAGAGAAGAATCCCTTTTTGGTAGGATGAGGTCTGGCGACGGTCTCCATGCTGCCTGGGTCGGAGCCGTGGTTGGGCTCGGTCAGGCCGAAGCAGCCTAGCAGTTTACCCTGGGCCAGCTGCGGGAGCAGTCTCTGCTTCAGCTCCTCGGATCCAAACTCGTGGATGCCCGTCATGATCAGGCTGGACTGGACGGACATGCCGCTGCGGAAGCCCGAGTCGACTCGCTCGACTTCCTTGGTGATCAGGCCCGAGGCCACCGTCGACACGCCTGCGCAGCCGTAGCCCTGGATCGTAGCGCCCAGCAGGCCCAGCGAGCCCATCTCGCGCAGGATCTCCGGGTCGTAGGCCTCATTCCGATATGCCTCTATATTTCAGTTAGTATAACACACACATAGCTGTTAACTACCAGTAGAAGGGAACGACGCACCTAGGACTCTCGGGGCCAGCTGCTCCTGGCAGTACCGCCGGGCCGTGTCCTGGATAGCCAGCTCGTCTGCCGTGTAGAGACTCTCTGCGTCCAGCGGGTCTGTCCACTTGAAGCTCGCTGCTGCTGAGTGTGCGCTGCGTCGTGGGCCTGCGGTGTCTGCTGGCCGTCTCGCGGCTCCCAGCGCAGCCCTCAGTGTGCCTCTTCTCAGCGCAGCGTTCATCTTGCAGTGTCAATTAAGAATTAATAGATCAGTTGAATGACATCCAGATGGCAGCAGAGAAGAGATCCCGGGTTTCGGCTCAAAAAAGTCGCGGTTGTTGCGGAGTTTTCGTGATGTTTCGGGGTTTTCGCAGCAAACCTCGGCTGTTGTCGTTATCAACTACGAGACTCGATATCATTATAGACGGTGATATCAATATATATGTATATATTAATGACTTGGTAGTTGTTGATAGCTGTTGATGCTATGTGGTCGAGGCGAGATTCTATCTTCTTACTGTTCAATATCATCATATCTGCGGAATATCAGCCTTATGACTACTTTGTATAAGGAGTCATCTCAGCTAGTCATCCATGATCAAGATATGTTATTCTTTATACTGTAATTATATCCTGCATACTCTGTATCTGCTGATCAGAAGACCCTTCGAGGACTAGATAATGACTGATAACTAGAGATGCAGGATTCCTAAGATGAGAAGATAAGTATATCAGAGCGTGATTGGCAGAAGAGGCCGGATAGACGAGAATGACGGTATGTCCAGGACTCCATATCCCTTCTCGGTAGTGTTTGTTCATCCTGAGCGGTGATCATCTTGCATGTCTCACATCGTCGTCCTCTTAAGCTAGTTATGCGCCGTACGGAGTATAGTCCAGGCCGGTTCATGAAAGCTGGCAATAATAATATCAAAACATTCAAAACACCAGCCAGCTGGCTTCCTGATAATAATGATATGCCGAACTTTACCCACCCAGCCGGGCAGTGTATGTATATAGTTAGCGTATAGATAGGGCTGTAGAAGACCATAACTGGCACTTCGATCCGGCCAGCAGGACGACGGCCGGCCAGACGGACATATGTCGGGGGCTTTAGCTGCTCTTCCTCTGGGGCACTTCCAGACGGGCCAATGGCATGGAAAGCGCTGAAGCATCTAGAATAATAAACTAGTTATCCGCATCCCGAGCTGGCCGCGTGAATTGCTAATCACGCAGACGTAGAAACATCGAAACAAGTATGACTGTATTCTTCTTGTTTCTCGCATCCTCTCTCTGTCTCTTTCTCTCTCTTCCTGGGTCTGGCTCTTCATCAAAGAATGGAGTTACTCAACGGTGGCACAGCACCAGGAGAACTGCAGCTCTGTAAGTAGGGCCGTAACCGTAACCGTAACCGTAACCAGGGCTACACGCAGGCAGGCAGGCAGCCAGTGAAGATCCGCTGGCCCGCGTATTTACGTGTTTGTAATATCGTCTCGCTCTGCGTCGACTGCAATCTCTGTTCTCTCTGGCTCTCTCTGGGGCTGCGTCCTTTTCTTATTTGTCAAGGTTAAACGTCGCATGATGCAGGTCGGGCAGCGCGAGCAGGGCAGAGATCTCTGTCGATAGTCGGCGTGCTAGCGGTGCTGCCCATAGCCTATATGTGCCTATAGCCTCCTGTGGCATCTCTCCCCCCTTGCAAGTCCCTGTAGAAGCCTTCGTGTCCGTCTCTATTGGCTGGCTCGGGGTTGGACGTTAATATGCGGCCCTGCACACGAATAGGGCGCCACATCTGCTGCAGCAAAAGAGAAGAAGGTCGACGGTGATGCTGACCTTCGACCGGTACGACTGAGGCCTTTTCTTCAATATATATCAAGCGCCGTCTGCCGTCTGCCGTCTGTCTACCTGCCCTGGCTGTAGAATTGCCCTCTGTATGGCTGTCTATCTCTCTGTCTATCTCTCTGTCTGTCTGTCTATCTGGCTGTCTGCCTGGCTGAAAGCTCCGTCGACTACAGGCACCCTTGCAGCGACGAGCAGCCCCTTTCCGACCTGAAGAAAGAAAAACCCCCAGTCAGCATAAAATCTCTCCAGGCAGACAAAAATACTCATCTCCATCTCCATCTCGGCCTTTGCTTTCTCTCGCCGTCCTTCTGCCTCGTCTCGTCGCGGGTCAACGGCCAAGGACCAGCCTGCGTTAACTACTTAATATCAGGCAGTTTTATTAAGAGCGAAAAAAGAAAACAACACAAAAACAACCAACAACGGAGGAAGAAAGACAGAAAAAAAGGACCATCACCATCAACTGCGACATCTTCATCTTTCGCTGTCGAGACCAGTTCATCCATCCGCCGTACACGAGAGGGACCGGGAGTTGCATCTACAGACAGCTCTTCGTACATGCTCGCCGCCGCCGCCACTCGCTGCTAAGAAACAAACGTCGCAGGCCTCATGGTTTCCGCGCGGGACACGCCCTACACCGTGACCAACTCGTTCAAGAGGTCGGTGAATGCCATTATTATGCTGTTGTTATCATTATTATTATGATTATTACTGTGGATAGATACTGACTGCCTGCAGAGGTCTACTCATGAAAACCTATGCGCGGCCGCTCCGGCGCGTGCTGTGTCCGGAGTCGCGTCCTGATCCAGCGCTGAAGAGACGCCGGATAACCAGCATGCCAGCAGACGAAAACACCGCCAGCAACAGTGGCAGCAGCAGCATCGTCATCAACATCAACAGCAGTACTGGTGAGAATGACGGGGACCGCCATCTCCAGGCGCCCCTGGCGGGCGACATGGGCAGCGAGAACAACCTCGTCTGCGCGATTCGCGAGTCCTCCGCTGCGGTCCTGTCCAGCCCGTCGCGGCACACTTCTACGGCCGCCACGGTCTACTCAGAGGACATCCCGGAGCTGGACGACGACCTGTCGACGCCGCCCAGCTCGCCGCCGCCGCGAGAGCACGAGGCCGAGCAGGTGAAGCTCAAGCTCGCCCTGACGCCGCCCCCCGCCAGCACCCGCAAGCCAACCTTTAGTTTCCTGAAACGCAAGCGGTCTGCGAACGATACGCCGCTGACGGAGCTCGAGGTCAACGGGGGCAGTGCCAGCATGCGGTCGATGGATCCCCCGGCTAAGAAGAAGCAGACTCAGGCTGCATCGGAGCCAACACCAACTACATCAACATCACCAACCACAGCATCAACAACAACAACAACAACAACATCGACAGCAACAACAGCAACAACGACAACAGCAACTACAACAGCAACGACAGCAACGACGACAGCAACGACAACAGCGCCCCGGCCGGCCCTGAAACAGACAACACTAGACCTTGGTGTAGCGTCCAACACGGTACGCATAGAGTGCGATACATGTGGCATGCACTATATCCCCTCGTCAGAACTAGACCGCTCCATACACCGCAGATACCATGACCACAACTCAGCGTATGGCGGCGGCGTCGAGTTTGGCAAGTCGTTTGTCCGTGCAAATGCCTCGCGGTGGGTTTACGAGGCCTCCCGCTTCGAGGAAGGATACGTCGTCATCGTGGACCGGAAGAGCTCGGCTGGAACGAAAAACCATGCCAAACGCGTGCTGGAGATAGCAAACCTCGACCTGGGCGCCGTAGACATCGATGACAGCGTCCTCTGGAGCAAGGTCGAGGCCAAACAGGGCGGAGAGGAAGTCGACCGGTTCAAGTTCTTCCTGCACATGAAGGGCAGCAGATGCGTTGGCCTCGCCCTGGCCGAACGCATCTGGGAAGCCCACGGCATCACCTCCAAGCCGTCCAAGCTGATCCCAAAGCGCCCTTCAAGCCTCAGCTGCTCTCTCTCCCTCACCAAGGAAACATACCCCGTTCTCGTGGGCATATCCCGCATCTGGACGTGCCGGATGTCCCGCCGCAAGGGCATAGCGCTCGACCTGCTCGACTGCGTGGTCAGCAACTACTTCTACGGCATGGAGATGGCCCGCACACAGGTGGCCTTCAGCCAGCCGACGGAGTGCGGCTGTGCCTTGATGAGGACCTTTTACGGAGACAAAGACTGGAGAATTTACACCGGAAGCTGTTAAAACACACGTCTTTCTTCAAATTCTACTACACTGGAAGCTGTTTAACGTCTTTCTTGCAAATAAGGGGCTTTGGTGGTGGTGAAATTGTACTATTAGGCTCAACCCTAGGAGGGTCAGCTCGGCGGGGGATCACTTCTTTTTCTTCTTCTACATCTGTATCTTTCGTTTCTTATATTGTCATATTCATCAGTTATTTATTATGGAACTGGCGGTTTGGACGGACAACGGCTTTGCTCTGGACGGACGGATGGAGTTTCACATTGCCATAGGGCTTCTTCGGTTTTATCTAGCTACTGAGATCTGCATGCGCTTTAGGATGGAAAATACGTCACTTATCCGTCTCTACCTAATATCATTATCCTTTCCTCTTAATATATCATAGTTATAGCCATGGTCGTATTGCAGTCGCCGTCGTGGTAGACGCTGGGTGTATCTAACTAACTAAATAATACTCCGTCGTTCTTCGCCCGCGCAAACCAACCAAGGCAGCTACTGTAACTAAACCAACTCTTCAGCTTCCAACACGCCGCGCATCGCACTCATGCCCACGCCCGCACCCGCCAGCGCCCTCATGTACGATGTCTGGACTAAATCCTTTCCGCCATAAGAAAACCGCCTCTACTGCTGCTCCCGGAGCCGTTGCTGCGCCAGATGCGGCGTCGTCTTCTTCGCCTTCTTCGCAAACGGCCGCAAGTGACTCCGCATCCCTCTCCACGGCACAGCCAGGCAACAGACCTCGCGGCCAGGACAGGCGGCAGACAGGGCAGGACGATGCGGGCAGACGGCCTGGGCCAGCTGAGGAATGGCTTGCCGGCCTCGAGGTAGACGTTGCCAGGCAGAAGAAACAGGCCCAAACACAGCAGCACCACCACGGCTTGTCCAGGCCGCTGTTTGAGAACAGTACGTCTAATCTACTCCATATACCACGCCTTATATACCCGCTTTACCCCCATGAAGATATATAATATACGGTGATACAGCTGTACATTGTAACTGCTGAAGGAGACTTTTATCTAACGTGCTGCATGGCAGGTGAACTCCCCGCTTCTCGTACGGTTTCGAATTCAAAGACCGTTCGCATTGCTTCTCCCCCCGCAAAACAGATACCTTCTCCCGACAACAACGATGCCAATGACGCCGAAGAAGGATATTTTGGCTCTGATGTCTCTGGATATACGTCTGCAGGGTCAGTGGGGCGACAGATGTCGGGCCATCGCCCTTCGACACCGGGTGTTCAGCCAGCCGAGGACCCGTTCAATGCTGCTATCGGTAGCTCCGGGAGCTCCGACGAGGACGACGATGACGATGATGGCGAAGATGACGAGATAAAACGCCTGAATGCGCGGGGACAAGATGGCCTGGGGCTCGGGTTAGGTCCCGTTGCTGATGTGCCGTCTCTACGAAGGGTGTCGTACCAGGGGGATCTGCGGAGCAAAGGACAGGTGCAGGAGCATGCTGGAGCCGGAGCTACGAAGAAGAGAACAACGATGGACGTTGATGCGTTTAAGAGGCTGCTACTCACGGGGGATACGGCTGGGGACACCAAGGACAGCAGAGATTTGTCTGCTGCCGCCACTGCCGCCTCTACCACACAAGAGATGTCTGCCGGTGACAAGAAGCCGCAGAAGCCACCTCCCCCAAAGTCCCGGAGGGGGAAAGCCATATCCTCCTCTTCTCGCAGCTCAGAGTCTACTGAAAAGTCTACGGAAGCTACTGCTCCCGTTTCTCCCCAGGCAACAAGCCATACCAAGTCACCCGCATCTTCCATACATGGAGCTCAACCCCCTTCACCCCCTGCCCGACGTCAGGCAGCACAATCAGAGCCAGTTCCGCCTGCTCATGCACAGCATAAAAGACCTCCAACGCCTCCCATAACACGTCGGCACAGCCAGATGAAACGGAGCGGTACAAATACCTCAAGACTAGCCCTACCACCCGGTTCTATCAAGCCTTTGAATAGATCTGCTTCCTTGAACAGTGCTACACATCCCAAGACTCCTCCACCACCACCATCTAGGAGGACCGGAACAGGCAGCACCACAGATCACGGATCAATCGCGTCGTCTATACACGATACCTCATCAGTTGTTACCCCTCTACAACACCAAAAGGCAGAATCAGAAACCTCTCCACCGCATAACCCACACCTTCAGGCTCCAAGCCATACATATACCCATACCCACACCCACACCCATCCACCAACATCAACAGCAAGACCACAACCTCCCCCACCGCGCCGAACAGCCGGTTCAACTCACTCGTCTCATTCAACAGAAACAAACCACCCTTCTTCCACCTCCACTTCCACCAGAAGACCATCTTCAATATCAGCGGAGACAGAAGACCATCCTATACCACCGCCTCCTCCGCCCCATCGCAAAACAACTCGAGGCAGCAACCCGCCTGAACCCGACATTTCACCTCCATCAAACGCAAATGATATACTAGCCAATCTCTCCCAGCTCCAGCACGACCTGGACGAGTTTCGCGGTCAGTATGGAGATGGTGACCGAGACCGTAGTCAAAAGAAGTGAATTGTGCTGTGAGCGGTTCATATATACATCTCCCTAGGTGGCCTGATCGAGTACTCCCTTTCCACGCCCTGATTATACAACACGCAGCATGCTTTGTTCTCTCAGCATTAGCGATGACGCGATGATATTTTCCTTCTCCAGTTTTAGCTTTGGCGGTGGCCAACTACTATAGTCCCAGTTCTCACGAACAATAATAATATGTTTATGATTGATTACCCTAAGCTTTGAAGCTATTGTTGACCTTCATCAATGTCTGCCTCTGAGGATGACAATCATAGACCAAGTTATAGTACCACTGCTCAACTATAATTCCTCTCAAGCTCGTCAGAGACATACTCCTTCAAGCATATAAGCTGTGCTTTGAAGTAACTAAAGCCCATACTTATGACCCACTGCTAGAGAGAATGTCCACTACACCTGCCAAGAATAATACAAGTTCATTCAAAGAAAGTAGCCTCTATATTGACAACCACTTAAGCAGCTAAACGCGATCTACTAGTTACAAAGACGCCCTACGATTCCTCATTGTTTGCATCTCAAAAAGACAAAGAAAAGACGAAAACGAAAAGAAGGTTCGCCTGCCGCTGGTGAACTTTGTTTAGTGGAGAAATGCGGGATGACGTAATAGTAGTGTTTTTGGGCTCTTTTTGTGTAAAGTTATCCAAGTGCGGCGGATACATATCAGATTTCGCTCAAAGTCGAGCTCTCACAATTTACGTCAAAAGGGGTACGCCCGATAAAACGATTATTCACGAGATCTGCTCAATTCCATAAACCAGGCTACGATATGCAAGATTAAAAATTCTCCTCCCCCCACACAAAGTTGAAACCTGGTTCAGAGTACATGTTGCATTTCACATGCAGTACGCTGCCCAACGCCTTTGGTCCACAGAAAAATACTCCCGCCTCAGCTGGGGCATGAATCTTCCGGATTGACCGGAAAACCATGTCCCAGTTGGGCCGGCCGAAATTGGTGGGGGCACGGAGACCAGTGATGGCGTCTCGGTCAGCGTCGGCGTCATTGATCATGATATTCGTTGCATCATCAGATTGGATTTTGGCCGTGAGATACTGGAAGAAGGTTAGGAATTAAACTAGCCCACCTGCATGATGAGGATTCATTGTAACTAATGTGAAACGTACCGTGTGGATCTCAATGTTACTATACCTGTCCTGGGCCTCTATGGCAAGCAGCAACGAGCTGAACCACTCAAACGAGCCAAAATCTCGACAGACCCAGAAGAAGTACACCTTCTTCAACCGTGTTTTGTTCTGTCGCTGGCTCATGCGATACCATATACTTTTTAAAATGGAGGCGAACGGGGTAACGCCGATTCCAGCACCGACTAATACCGCTACTTCGAATTTAAACACGTCTTCAGATGCACTGCCGAATGGCCCATCGATGAAAATGCGTGGAAGTATACGACTCAGTCTTGGGTCGACATCTTGCTCACTTGTGTTGGCATCGACGCCTATCACTGTCGACTCACGCCTGGTACGTCGCTCGTAGGAGGGCTGTTCTTTCTCGTCAAAGTCACAGCCAACTGCCTTTGCCAGGTCCTTTGTGAAGTTGCCAACGCAGCGGATGTGCACGGATATATAATCCTCCTCTGGAGCACTAGTAAGGGTGAAGGGATGGTATTGCCATATTGATACTACTGGGCAGTTGATGAAGATATACTAAGCGATGGTAAGCATAGCAATAACTACAATAGAAGTGGGCTACATACCTGGCCAGGTCTCATCTTTGTTTTCTCCTTTTGAAGCTGGATCTCAAAGACATTGCTTGGATGCTGAATCACTTTGGTGATAATCGTCCTATGTTTACCTCGAACTTCTCGCATAAGCCGCTCCAGAAGATACACAGAGCCTCCAAATATCCAGTAGAGATAGAATACGCCCGTTCCATCGCAAAAAGGAGGCAGGTCAGGTTTGATCATGCAAAATGCTCCATGGAAGGACCAGAACAGGAAAAAGATAATGAAGAGATGGTGGGTATTCCAGAATCGTTCATGGTTTGCTCTTCGTGGACCTTCCAAGGACGTTAGTGCAATTGCCACCAGGGCTGCTAGCATAACATATCCAGTCCATCCAGGGCCCGTGGTGACGTTTAACTGGAGGAAGCCTTTGATTCCTAGGCCTTCAGAGGCTGCAATGCGAGCAAAGTTGACCCAGTGGGCAATGGTGTGTAGTAGTGAGAAAAATACGATGGACCATGCGGTTACTATGTCTGTTAGCCAGAGGTAATGGATATGGGATGATCAGGCATACTTTGGTGGAATGCTATGCTCTTATCTATAGAAGAATTAGTCGTCACATTTTACATTTTTTCAAATTCAGGCTAATGGATAAAATGTAGCGTACCAAAGGGTATAACGCCGTTCAAGGGTGTTTGCCTTAGAAGAGAAATAAGTGTGCGAGACACAGCTGTTCTCCATTAGCATCATGAATAGACAATCTCTTGAAGGATAAACGTACGAAATAGGATCACGGCAACATCAAAATGTAACACTAAAGCAGCAGCTCTGGCAACAGCGTAACTAGATCCAAGCAATCCTCTAGCTTTGCTAAGATTGTCCTATTCAATGTCAATCACCGAGCCCATCCTTTCTTCCGGGAGAGTGCAATAGATACTTACCTTCAAGCTATAGTTAAGCATGCCCACTACAAACAATAAAACATGCACCAAAGCAAATATCGTAACGAACCTAAACTCGTTACCAATATATAAGTAGGTACGTGTATAGGAGACTTACAGTCTTCTCCACCCATCGTTAACCATCCTGTAGTAACAACGTTAGCCAAAGGTACACCATCATCTGGCCAGGATGATAGTGCGTACCATCTATCAAATTTCTCCTTCATGTTCAGATTCCTGGGTGGATCTCCGCTCATCTCACCGGACATCAACATCCTGGCCAACGGGGGAATCCTTGACCGTTCCTGTTCATGCGATTGCCATGGTATATGGGACATTTCGATGCCGCCGCGCAGGCGGCTCCTGCCACTGCCATGCGGTGCTCGATTCATGCCACTGAAGTAGGTCTGGAAGCTTTCGAAACGCTGATCTGTAAGGAAAATACGGGTATCAAAGCCAAGTGGTCAATCTGGCCCAAGAATGCAGTCCTCTATGGTCCGTTTGTAGTCGATGTTGCCCTTCACAAGGCGATTAATCGGTCATAGATGAGGCCTGAAATGATATAACATGCCACCTTCAGGCTGAAGATAACATGGATAGCCGGCCATAAGTAGCTATTTTGAGACTTATATTCATCTTCTGACCCTGCGCCGGTCCCGTTTCTTCGCTGGGTGTGCTCTGTTCCTGCGTCTCAGACACGGCGCTTAAGCCTGTGACGGGCCATGCTTTTGCCCAATGAACGCGCAGGAAAAGCCAACAGGAGACAGATGCAGAGACAGGGATTATCGAGGCGAAGGCTAGAAGTCACGGATTGGACAGTGGCAGTGAAGAGTGTTATTAGCCCTTCGTCAGTAACTGTTGGTTAGTGGTTGGTAGTTCGTTGGTTGTTGTTGGTGTTTACTGCTGTGATGCTATGATACGAAGATAGAGAATGACGTCGCACCGCCTTGACTTATTCACTAACACATAAGATATCAGTCTACATCTATTGAATCATCGAAGCGGTAATGAGTAGAGACAGTATATAGTACTCCAATACTGAGATTGTATTATTATTATTTTTTTCTTGTTCATTTATTTTTAGATCCTCCGCTGATTTATATACTTCGACTTTCACCTCTCGCTCGCTCAGCCAGTCCAGCCCAAAGCCTCCAGCTCGCTTCTAACAGAATCCTCAGTATGAATCTTCTTCATCTGAGTCTCCTCCAGCTTCTCACCGCTGGCAACACGCATCTTTAGCTCGTCGATGGCGCGGACCTTCTTCAAGAGACTGCGCATTTTCTTGTCACGGGCAATGGCCGCTGCATCGGGGACGGCATTGGCGGTGTTACCACCGTCGGGAGAGGTGACAGTCAGGTCTGGTGGTGCGGCTTGTTGGCGGCCAGTGGTGTTGACGGCCGGTGAACGGCGGTCATGAGGCTGGTTGCCATTACCGTTGCGGTTTGGCGTGCTATTGCGGCCATCGCTGCGCTGGCGGCGGTGGGCGCTTCTGCTCCTGTCACGACCTCCACGGGGGTAGTTAGGGTCCAGGTTCGCGCCGTTGGCACCATTGGCACCGCCGCTGGCTTGCTGTCGGTGCCGGGAGCGACTGCGATCCCGTCTACCTGAGTTGGTAGCAGCAGCCATGGAATTCTCACCACCGTCCCCTTGGCCACCAGCGCTGGCCTCCTTGGCCTTCTTAGCCTCTCGCTTCTTTTTGTTCTTTGCAGCAGACTTGGACAGCTTCTCGGGTCCAGGTGCACTAGCCTCGGCCCCAGGGGGAAGAGCAACTCCGCCTCCCGGAGCGGCTCCGGGTGGTAGGAACTCTTCCACAGGCTCGGCACCAGGTACAGCACGACGACGGGGCTTGCCAAAGGGACTTGGAGCTGACCCGCCATTCGACGCAAACGAGGACGAGTCCTCACGGACAAATGCAGCACCGCCTTCATCCTCACGGCGGAAGGCCAGTGGAGTGCTCTGTCCTCGGGCACCTGGAGGACGATACGCACCTGCTGGCTTGGTGGGGGCCTTCTTGGTGCTTAGATATGCTGTAGCAGATGGATGCGGGGTTGGCACTGGGTTCAGAGGATTTGATGTCAGTGGATGGCTGTTGGGAGACTGTGGCCGCCACGACACGGAATACAGCTCATTCATATCCTCGTTGTACATCAGAGCTCCAGTAACGTGCCAGATGCGGACACCGTTGTCAACACGGAGACGTGGGCTGGTGGTAGCAGTGAGAATGTGTCTTCCATCTGGACTCCATTCACAGACACTGGCATTCGATGCCTCAATGGTGACGATCTTCTTGTAGTCCTTCTCCACGTCGTAGATGTCCATCTGGCCTGCCAGGTTACCAAAGCCAGCAACAAGGACAAAGCGGCCGTGTGGAGAGAATAAGATCGTATTTCGTGGGCCAAGCTGGAAAGAATGCGTGGCTACAGCACGGGTGTTGAAGATGGTAGTCTTTGCAGGCATATAGCCGTACACGACACCAAATTCTTTGGAGGTAGGGGACCATGTAACATCATGGATTGGACCCTCCTTGTCTATTTAACAATTAGCCATGCTGTCTGTGGGAAAAATAGGGAGGTTAGATGAAAGGCCAACCAACATACCTAGGTCGATCCTAGAATCAAACGTTCCACTAACACTGAGGAGATACAGAGTGGTCTCTCCATAGTAACTCTTACCACTCTTATCGACATCGGTCTGAGCGAGGACGATGAGAGTGGTTCCAGTATTGTTCCACTTCAGCTGCACCTTGTCACCCTTGTAGAATGACTTTTGCGAAACAGGCGCATTGAAGTTGGGCATATCAAATATCCTGACGGAGGCAGGTTGGCCCTATCATAAAGAATTAGTCTTATGTCTTCCATTTGAGAACCACGTCGATTGCGGAGGGCTACCTTTCTCTCCGGAATAAAGGTGGCGACAGCGTGGCCCTTGCCCGGTGAAAGAGCAAAGTCCGCGACCCCCTCTACCCTCAATTTCTTCCAGACGGTTCCGAGGTTCCCGCTCTCGTAGAACTGCACCTCGTTTGTCACGACACGGGCACAGTATTGTTCGTCCGAGGCATACTGCAGATTCCAGCCTGTCTGTGACTTCTGAACGAAGCTGCCGATCGGGGTTTGTTGGTCTTGGGTTTCACTGTCGGTGGCAACCTTCCACACCTTAAGATTCCGGACTGCATCGCCGTTCTCGTCCTTGGATGGCCGTTGCCAGGTGATGACATATGTGCCCAGGGGCGAAAAATCTATCTCGTAGACATTCTCGGCAGGAATCTGATTGACTATGTGGCCCACCGAAGCGTCGATGACGGTGACACTGTATCTGGTCATTAGTGATAGTGATTCTCAATCTCGGCGGAGGCAGTGTCTTACCCTTCTGGGGCAGCCCAGGCGAAATATCGGCCACAGGCGGAGTATGCGGAACACCGGAGGTTCCCTTCAGGTCTGGACAATGTGTTAGGTCTGGGTTTAGTCTTGTAGTTAGGGGAGTGCAGATGGTAGTATATACCTAACGAAGCTAGGCAAGGATTCGTAGACCGGGGCAGCATCTAAGATGCCGATGCCCTTCACCGTACGGTCTGGTAGTCCAGTCAGTATATATTCGATGCAACCAACACCAGGCTGCAGGTCTTACAAGCAAGCTGAGTTGGAGCTGCCATGACTACTCAAAGCCACAGAACAGAGACCAACACTATATGACAAGGGGTTTTCCCAGGCAGCAATATTCCCTCCTCCCCAAAGGCAGAGAGAAGGCTCCGATATATAGAAGAATAACCAAGAATAAAAAATAATAAACGGTAATTCGTCCTAGGTAGACCCGAACAGGTTCTCGAGAATATCTGATCGAAGGCTCTTTAAATGTTCTGCAGTCCTCTTTGTGCGATGAAGAGGGCGCCTTGTTGCAGTTTGCTGTAACCCGTTTGTGCGGCTCCCTTTTTTATTGTCTTCTCCCTTTCGGCTGCTTGCTTGCTCGCAGCTGGCCAAATCCCTTCTTCTTCTCTCTCCGGTCGAAATCTGCTAGACAAGTGAATGCCAGCGAGAAGTCGAGGGTCGAAAAATCACCGATATCAAGTGCGCGAGGATGTATATAGCTTGAGATAACTATTGCACTGTTTCACCGCCTGGACTTTTTCTATGTTTGGCTTGCTTGAACGCGACAGGCTCGATGAATCCTCCACGGACGCTGGGCTGGAGACAGCGGAAAAGGCGGACGAGACGGCGAGAGAGGCCGAGAGAGCGAAGGTGACGGCGACGGCGAGGGCGAGGGTGAAGGTGAAGGTGAAGCTGGAGGTCGTGAGGGCGTCAAAAAAGGAAGAAGAAGAAGAAGAAGAAAAGAAGAAAAGTCGAAGGTTTTTTTTTTTTCTTTCCCAAAGTGGGAAGAAGCGAAAAAAAGGGAGTGGTACGTGCGTGCTTAGTCAGCAGTTAAAAGACGAAGAAAAAAGCAGAGAAAGAAGACGGCGAGGAGGATAAAAGGACATGCATAGTCGAAGATAAAGAGACTCAAGGAAGAGTATACAGGGGGTGTAGAGGTCGATGGTAGGGGTGAGGTGTCTGTAGAGCTGTGCTGGCAGTGTGGAGTGGACAGCGCACAGCGATAGCGATACGGAGTAGTTTACTATATTTATTATTGCCTAGATTACGGGAGTACCACTATTAAAGAACAGCAGTCTGACAAAGGCCTTTCACCTGCAGCCTGTTGTTATTATTGTGCTATTTTATTGTCGCCTTGTCTTTCTTGTCGTCGCCTTGTCTGCCAATTGCTGCTGGCGTGATTACTAATAAAGAAGAAAAAGAAACAAGGTTTGATAGACATGCTTACATAATATCACTGACCTCCTGGCGATGACGTCCTTCTTTTCTCCCTCGCTTCGGGCAAACCAGAAAGACAAACCACAGCGATAGAGATCAACGACAGCAACGCCGCGAAAAGACGAACTGACAGACGGACGACTTCGAGTGACGGACAAAGAGCTGATAGGGGACTGCAGAGAGCTGGCTGCTGGCCGACGATTGCTTCACATCTCTCTCTCAGGTGGGTTGGCTTCCGCATGTATGTCTCATACGCCACAGCCAGAAGATTACTGACTCCTGGATAAAGTAGACCAAAAGCCGCCCCAGAGATACCTTTCTGCCAAAAGGACACACAGGATACACAGATCCACGGCTCTGCTCTACTTCTATCGCTTCGAGGACCTTCAACATGACCACTCCTACCCTCATCAACCTCCCTCCTCCTCCATCGGACCCCGTCACCCCTTCGGAGATGGGCCCGTAAGTGTCCCTGTTCCATTGGCCCATACACTCCTGAGAACCTTCTCGCTGACCATGGGCACAGGAGCACTCCCAACTCAGGGACAACCTCTCTCTCCGCGCTGTCCACCGTAGCCATCAAGGACGGCCACCAGGGAGCTCGCCGACCCCACAGCCACCGGCCACATCGGTCCTCCTCCAACGCCTCTGAAACGTCCACAACGACTCTCGATGCTGAGCGCGCAGATCGCATCTCGCGCCTTGCCGGCCTGGAGCGTCTCTCCGCTCGCACGGCTGCAGGTGGCAATCCTCTTCACGCACACAACTCCAGCGGGCTCTCGCAGGGAGAGTACTTTGACACACATCCTCATATGCTCAAGGAGCGCAGCACAGTCGGCAGTGCCAGTGCGACGGAAAGTATAAGTCGTGGCAGTCTTGGTGGACGCACACGCACCACCTGGGCCAGCGGAAGCGACGATGTCTACGGACAAGATGAAACCATAGACGAAGAAGACGTCGATCCAGACGACGCAGATGCACGCTCTACAGACGCCTTCAGCGACGAAGGAAACGCAAGTCTCGTTGGATTCGGTGAGGGAGCAAACAGCACCATCTCGGGGCCGATATCCACCCCCGTACAACGCCTGGCTGCAGCAGGACTAAGCAGGCAGTCCTCCTCCATGACGGGCGTCAGTAATACTGCAGTAGCGGGCTCAAGTCCTACCTCAAGCCGATTCTCCCACCCAATCACACACCAGAGCCAGTCTCAGCAGCCACCACAGTCACCCACATCTGCACCGGGCTCGCGAGGTGCAGCTGCTGTCGATGCACAAATGCTTGATGGGATGACCTACGATGAGGACATAGTCGACACTACCGCCCGGTCACCTCTACCCGTCAAGAGCGACGAAGAAGGTCAATGATTGGGCCTCCTTTTGATCCATTGTTTCTTTCTTTCCTTCCTTCTTTCTTTTTACTTCCTTTTCGGATCGAATGCAGCCGTGTTCTCGCTTCCTTGCTTTCTGTATTTGATATGGTTGGTCTGTCTGATCAGGTATCAGAACGACAAATAGGGGCCGTTTTATCGGTCAGCTAGATGGTTGGGAGAAGCTGTCTCGTGTGTAAGCTCTACTTGTACTGCTGTTTTGTTTTTTTTTTTTTTTTTTTTTGTTTTTCATATGATAGCATTAGGAATGGAATTATCTCCGAAACTCTTCGATCACCGCTCCACGATCTTTGTATTTGGTCATATTGGCAGCAAGGAGCGAATACGAACACTCTAAAGTATAATCCCGTAGCATTAAAGTATGTTTATCGACCAGGGAAATGCAACGCCGGCAATAATCTAATTGAATATATTGAGAGCAACTCGGCTCCTCTATACGGCCTGTCCAGGTGTCGATGTAATTGAACACATTAGCAGCAAGCAGCCCGAGATCAAATATAGTACACTGCCATGATGAAATATATAAACCAGCTCATGTCCTCATGTCTCTCAAATCAACTCTAACAATTCAATCTACATATCAAAAAACCACCCTACAATTATCTTAACTCTGAGAAACAATCAACATGAAGATCGTCCCTCTTCCTACACCGGTGGAAGTCAACCAGCCTACCACCATCCGATCAACAGTGACACCAACATTCGGCGGCGCCCCATGTCGTCGCTGTCTCAAAAATGCGGCCCTAAACGAAGACGTCCTGCTGATCTCGTACAATCCGTTCCTCCCCGAGAACAGGGATACGCCGTATAGTGGCCCCGGACCGATATTCGTGCACGCAGACGAGTGTCCCTGGTACGATGGCACTAAAGACAACGAATTCGGCATTCCAGCGAAGTGCCATGCTCGATCACTTACGGCGAGGGCCTATGACGCTGGAAACATGATGGTCTGGAGTAAAGTGGTGGAGGGAGCGAAGTTGATGGAAACGTTGAAGACGGAAGTGTTTGGGGACCCTGAGCTGGAGGCAGAATATGTACATGTCCATTTCACGGGTCCTGGATGTTTTGCTTTTAAGGTTGTTCCATGAAGGGATTTTGGCGAAGTGACAGTTCTCGAAACAGACGGAGAGAGTTTTGGTATGTCCAGATAAAGAAAATGTGGAAAATAATAAAAAAAAAATAGTCTAATGGGGTATCATATCTATCGTTTGCACATCCCCGTAAAGATCAGAAGCATTCTAAATCATCCAACATACTTAACTGCTGATCAAGTATGGGTATTAGATGTGTCATGAACGGTTGTGGGTGACTCGTTGTTATCATCATTCGATTGCGGCATCGTCTCAGTGCCCTGATCGACGGGCGAAGTAGAACCGCCGCTCTTCTCAACTTCTCTATCCTCTCTGCTACGGCTTCGACTGTGTCGTCGGGGGCTTTCGTGAGGACTTCTACCCCTGGAACTCGACGACCTCCAGGCCCATCGCATCCCCTGTCTACCTCGTTCACTCAACCATTGGTAATCCTCTTCTTCAACCAACAAACCACTGGTCCTTCCGGCGCTGCTACTTCGACGATGTGCGCTGCTCATCAACGACAATGCCGAGCGAGGAGCTATAGCCTCAGGGGCATCTGGCTGAGTTTGAGTGCTGGTATGCAATGTCACTATCTCAGGCACTATTCGTGACTCCACGGCTGGAGTGGCGGGTATCACAAGCATTTCAGTAGCTCCCGCCAGCCCGTCGGCAATGCTGTGTGCTTCACTAACGGTATCATCTTCGGGTACTATTAACCCATCTTCAAGTGCTGTTTCCTTGACTGCCTTGTTATTTCGGAGCTGGGAGGTCCATCTGCGAATCAAATATTGCTTTATCTTGAATATGGTGCCCATATCACCACCCGATCCATCACTGTCGGCGTCCAACAGGATCGTACGTTCAGGGGCACTCCAAACCTTGATGAAATGCCATTTAATACGTGATAGAATACCCTGTGGAACAACGTAATCACGCGGACCCATTCTAGACCAGAGTGACGGGTTGCGATCGGCCATCTCATTGAAGAAATTCTCATAAATACCTCGTTGATGCGGAGTTTGGCGTCGGCTTGCGAGGTAATGCTTGATTATGTACCAAAGGAGGAGGACCAGGAACATGAATGGTACAGTGGCTATGAAGTACCATTTAATATCGGGGTCGTCTTTAAAGGTATCAACGTTCATGCCAAAGAATCCAGTGATGAAAGTCATCGGGAGGAAGATGAAAGTGATCCAGCTCAGACGCCACACTATAGATGATTAGTCGGTCGATTCTATGCTCAAATTAAAGGCACTAGCACTTCTACTTACTGCTGACGTTTAGTTGAATGCTATGCCGACTGTCCCTGATAGAGACTGACTGGTACAGAAGGGATATTAGGTTCTCAGTCGGCTTTATCAGGTCTTCAGTAATAGTGGTGCCCAGCCGCTCAAAGTCACCGGGTATGCTTTCCAGCCAAGGAGTATCGGATTCTACGTCATCTGCTCATACCAGATTAGTGATGCCGTCTTCTCAAGGCCTTGAATAACTACGATCAACCCACCTGTTAGGTCTTGCAGCCGTGTTATCATCTCTTTGACGATATCAAGGTGAATGAACAGTAACTTTTCAACTTTGAGCCACAAACTCGAGTTGGTCCAAAGCAATGGGGCACGAGTTTCATCTGCCGGCCGTTCATATATCTTGTCCTCCAAAATGCTAACATGGTCCATTGCTAAATTTAGGAATGAATCCCAGTTTGCGGTCAGGACCTTGAAAATATCGTCTAAAATAATTCTGGTGCTGTGGTAAGCGAGCTGTTCGTCACTTTCAACAAGATCCTTTGACTCAAAGGCAAGGAAGAAAGGAAGCCGTCTCCATCTCTCCTCCCATGTCTGACGGGGTGGGATGAGAGTGTCTTCTAGACATCCGGTGTGAGAATTGTCGAATATAAGGATCGCATTGCCGTTGTCCAGAGAGCTGAGACATGGAACGTATACGTCTTTCCGCTTTTCTGGGGAGTCACCAGTCTGGCAATCCTCTATATGATACGGATTTTTGATATCCGAATCCTCCATTTCCAGGGAAGGCAGCCCTGTAGCTTGTTTGTGTTGAATATAGCAGCTGAACCGCTGTACATATACATCATAGCCACGACTTGGATTATCTGTTCTCGGAGTAAGCAAAGGATTCATAATTTTTCAAAGTAATATAGTATGTATGTGATAAAGTACCTACCTTGGTCTCCCCAGGAGTCCAGTTCCATCATCTTGAGGGTGTCATCCTCCGGGCTCCGACGGTGGCGTGGAGTAAGATGCGCAGATTTATGGTACTGCTTCAGATAATCCAGTCCAAACGAGGTCTTACTGATTCCTCGCCACGGATCGTACTGGACTTTCCATGTCTTCCCGTTCAGAAACGGCCGTCCACCACGTCTCTCCGGGTTCTTATGTCGGACATACTTCCCAAAATCGTTGCCGACGAGATCGTCCCGGTTGTCGATGTTGAACTTCCTCAGGAGATACTCCTTAGCCCAGTCGGCGTTTTGAACGTGGAAAACACGCAGGACGGCCTCGTTGGTTCGATCAGGGTTGTTGTACACTTTGCGGAGGGATTGAAGATCGAATATCTCTTCTGCACTGACTTTGCGCATTCGGGTTTTGCTCGCCTCTGACGGTCCAGTTAGCATCCTGTAGATATCATATCCAGCAAATACTCGCCCAGCAACCTACCTTGCTTCACAAAATCGATAATCAGGACCCGCCCGCAGTGCTGATCGATCTCCGAGTACTCCTTGTGCCATTTGGGGCCCAGGTCATGTCGCCGTGATTGTCGTTCTGCAGATGATAACATGTCAACAACCATCACCACCAAGCCAGAACTCAGTTATCCAATCGGAGAGCTGTCCCTGGCTGAGTGCAACACCAGCGTAACCATGGCGTCTTACTTCTGGGCTGTCCAACAGTCGGTAGCTGTTCCGCCAGCCGCGTCGATGGCGTCAACTGCTCTGTCGTCGAGTTGCTTGTTAGCCAAACCAGCCGATCTAGTTATGCTCGTAAACAAACAACGGAACGACGCCCAGCTCGGTTTCGGGTACGTCAAACCGCAGCTTAAGAACGACGAATTTCTTCACATACCGGGTCTCGATGGCCTCGTCGACGGAGGGATAGGGTCTCCTGTCTGCAGACGAGGTATTCGAGATCTGCTGCGTGGACGTTCCTCAGAAACCATTGCCGGACGAGCTGTAGGCTCAGCCATCCTGACCTATATCCGACGACAATGGCGATAGTAGAACGAAAGAGAACAAAAAGAGAGGACAAACAGAACGCGGGAATAGAATGCAGGATGAGATCAGCTTCAGATCATGTCTGAACATTGATACAGTCAAATATCAGATCGGGTTGAGCGGAAACGTCGATGAGAAATGGCGCTCAGGATGCAGATCGCATGCAGCTGCAGCGAAGGATTTACATTATTATTATAGCTATACGAGGGAGCTGCTGAGGCTGAGCAGAAGGTATCATGGAGCATCTTGGGCATGACGGATAACGCTGCTGGATTCCAGCTGATTACGCTCATCTGATGTGACTCCGGTGTATCTTGCTGGTATATTAGGGTACTTATATAGTGGACGGCCTGCATCACAAGACCACTGGCAAGGCTCCGAGGGTGATGTCGCCCTTGTTATTGCTTTTTCTGCCTGATGGAGACTGCGAGTCATACAGCTGCTAGGGCGAGTGGAATAAGAGAGACTCATAGTGAGGCCGTGTATTATTATGGTGGATGGTGCTAGATATTTATGGTACACAACTCCTGACGACCTGCCTGCCCTATGCCACCCATTTTTACATCCATAGAACAAGAGAAACTAACTAGAAACCCCCTTCGCCAGTCGACAGATGACCACCGTGAACCAGCTCCCTCGAAGTAGAAGATAATACTCCGTAGAAAGCTCGGCAAGAAGAGAAAGACCTTTCACCCCGAACTTCCAGTGCGTAAGATAAAAATCAAAAAGCGAAGAAAACAAATATTTGCTGTGTTAGTAAAAGCAGCCCGTTTCACGCCGTAAAGAGCGGGTGTGCTGTCACGTATCATATCTACTCAGTGCGGCTTTGGGTGACCTTCGCGGCCTGGACGGCAGTCATCTTCTGGATCCAGCCCTGAGTGGGATGGGGCTTCTTAACGGTACGCAGATCATCAGACGAGAAGCCAGGGATACGCATGTTGTAGTTGCGTTCTAGGACGAGCTGGATGTCGCGGATGTCCAAGGTCGAAGATGGACGGAGTTTGGCAAGACGACAGGCAGCGGTGATCACATCGTCGACGAAGTCGTCAGCCATCTGGAGAACAAACTATAGAAGTCGTTAGATGTGATTTACAAGTTGAATAAGAGGAAATATTTGGGGGGAGGGACTGTACCTCTTCTGCATCAGGGGTGAGCTTTTCTCCCTCGCCGCCTCCGGTAACCTGTCTGACCAGGTCGTCAAGCTTCTTCTTGCTGAGAACACGCTGACCTTCTCCCTCCAACACGTAACCAGGATGCTTTTGGATGGCCGGCTGGCCCATCATTCCCATGGACCCATGGCTGGCTCCAGTGGTGAGGGTGGGTCGGGCGGCCCCCATAGTAACGGGTTCGGGAGTGGTAGAAATGCTGAGATTCTTGGGAATAGCCATGTTGATCTTTCGGGTATCCATGTTACGGTCGCCAATGTAGGCCTGGGGATGCGCGTGGTTTGATGTCTGGTTGGACTGGTGGATGTTTGAATTCACATCATAGCTGCTACGCGCTTGGTTCACTGCTCCTTGTTGAGAGAGTGCACGTGGTGGACCCTGATTTTGTGGTGTTTGAGAGAGAGTAGTAGCTCCAGCACTTTCTGGAAGTTGTTGTTTCATTCCTGCAACCTGTGCTTGTTGTTGTGAAGCTGCTTGCTGCTGTCCTAGTTGACTTTGTTGCTGTTGAGGCTGTTGCTGTTGCTGAGTGTGTTGACTTTGTTGCTGTTGCTGCTGCTGTTGTGGCTGCTGCTGTTGTGGTTGCTGTTGTGGTTGTTGTTGAGGCTGACCTGGCTGTCCTTGTTGCTGAGCCGGAGGGTGTGTCCCTCCAGATCCAGGAGCTGACTGTCCCTGAGGAGCTTGACCGGCCTGGTGGCGCGCTGCAACAACGGCGGAGTTTATAGTATGCGGAGCGGGTGTTCCGGCTGCCGCTGATACAGGCTGCTGGACGGCTGCCTGGCTAACGACACCTTGTTGATCTCCAGCACCAGAAGTTTGCGTCTGCCCTCCCTGGCCTGCCTGCTGGCCGGAAGCCGCAGCTGCCGCCGCCTGCTGGTGCTGGAGACGGAAGCTCTCCTGTTGATCCTTGAATTTGGAAAGAAACTCATTTCCTTCTCTATATAATTTATCGGCAAAAAGCTGTCTGTTCTTGAATTCCTGAATCTCCTCAGCAGTGAGGTTTCCAGCACCTTGACGCTGCTGGTACGATTGTCGAACTTCAGCAAGCTTCACTTTTCCCAGCTCTTGTTTCTGCAACGCCGCACCATATCTGTTCTTTGCTTCCTGTAGCCAGCTCTCCACCTGGTCCTTGCTTATCGAGGGAGGGGGTATGAACGTCAGGCTGTTAACTTTGGCCTGGATCTGAGGATAAAGCGGCTGGAAGTTCTGTGGTTTCTGCTGCGCAGGGTTGACACCAACCGGACCCCGGCTTATTTGCGGTTGCTGGTCCTGTTGTGTTTGTCCTTGCTTCTGTTGCTGCTGTTGCTGTTGTTGCTGCTGCTGAGCTTGAGCTTGGGCTTGAGCTTGAGCTTGCGCCTGCATCTGTGACCTGTTCTGTTGGTACATCCTCATTCCCCTCATTAGCTGAGTAGACATCTGCGTCAGCTTCTGCTGTGCTTTCGCGTATTCGTTGGACGTGGGAGGGTGCGAATGGAGCACCTCCCAGCAGCTCCGAACAGCCTGAGTGTGGACCGCCTTCTGGGAGTCGGCGAGATGGGGCAGTTTCTGGACCTGTTCCGTTCGTATAAGGCTCGACAGCTGTTGTTGTTGTTGCTGCTGGAGAGTTTGCTGTTGTGACTGCTGCTGCTGCTGTTGTTGCTGTTGTTGCTGCTGTTGCTGCTGTTGTTGCTGCTGCGCCGTGTTGGCTGGGGTCGACGAGTTATCCATGGTTGATTGCGATGAAGCTCAGCTTCTCAGTTCTTTCCAACTTTGGCGCACCAAACGCCCCGTTATATACTGATAATATCCGTGAGACTGTGAATAAATATAAGCTGTTGACAATAATAATATATTTGCAGGCGGTTCGGGGCGTCTTCAACCGTCGAGCTGGCTTCTCCGTCTTCACTCTCGTCGCCTTTTCTCTTCATCGACGTCAAAATCGCAAACGACGAAATGTCTTGGCATCACCTAATTAGTCATTAATTACTAATCACTTTAACTTTATATTCACATCCATTCAACATCATCGCAGCAACAACACGTCAGTTGAACGACCGCATCTCTGCGTCTCTACGCTCTCAGCCTCTCCTGCACTCATGGAGGCTGTGCTATACTACACGGTTTGCTAATCTACTAACTCCTGAAATCACGCGTTGACGGACGCGGCGTCAGAATGGGAACTAGAGGGTATCGTATAGTTCGCTATCGCGGCAGGTACTGGATTTATTACAACCACTATGACAGCTACCCTGAACATCTCGGCGCCGGGATCGTTGCGGGAGTGCCAGTTGATCGAAAAGAATACGAAGGTGAGAACGTGCGATCCATACCTAATACTTTTTCCATGGGCCTTAGGAACCTCTATATTCTGTCAAACCATCCAGGCACTAGGTAAACGCGGCCTTTAGCTCGTCTTTATATGTATCCGTATAAAGCTTGAGATGCAACCTTTTGATCATTATTGAGAAAGAATATAGGGGTTCTTAAGGCCATGTGGCACATTTTCACCTCGGAGTGGAGTCAGATACTAAACCAATTTCTTGCGGTCATAGTATGGCTACAGCAAAAGCGTGATTCCTATGAACGCAGGTTGGTCGAACTTGAAGAACACTTTTGCATTACAGAGGAACGCGTACGTATCCTAAAGAGCGAAGAGGGTGATGCCAAATCGGAGCCATTGGCGAATATACGTGATCTTGAGGTGCTCCCGTCCCATTTTGGCGACGCTTCAAACACTGTGTTTATTGAATGGGTGTATCTCATCGATCTTGATGAGCAGGTATTCTCTGTGAATAATCGTGTCTTCTTCAGACTTTGGAATATCCCTCGGGATACCTGGATTACACCATTTGAGTCATGGGACCTCTCCACTGAAAAATGTCCTGAAGCTTCATTAGAGCCACTCATTCCCGACTATTTCGCCGACGATGCTGAGCGCGACAGGTATAACGAGATGTACAAAAGATATCAGCACTCCGACCTGTATGAATTTTCGGCTGGCGTCAATTATAATCCGCGCAATGTAATGGCTCTAATGCTGTACGAATACCTACTACACCCTTCTCACTCAGCCATGTGGGATTATGTTCCCCAATGGGGATATACAGACTTTGCCTTTCGAGAATTGGCATTTGCTATCCTATCACTAGCAGCTAGTGAATTTCACCTTACTGATGTCCAGAAGTTACATGGCCACTACAGACATCAATCTTCATCACGTGGATTTTTAGTTCAAGATGACGCTCATGATGGAACGGAGGTTCTACCCATCCTCGGGGCAGGATGCCATACCTCAGTTACCAAACCTGGATGCGCGCCCTTAGAGACTATGTACTACTTTCAGGGTATCCTTATCAGTCTTGTCACTGCAGAGGCACTTTTTCACGAGAGGAATGCTGCTATAGCAAAGGCCGTGGAGGTTGGGCTTCAGAGTGGAAACAAGGAATTTGAAATAATACTTTTCTCAATCAAGTGTATGATTGTGGTGAAAGTATCCGTGGAGGATGATGTGACATCAGTCGCACATTCGGGGGTACTACCGATCACCAATGGAGGCGCAGCTCCATTCCCCCCTGTTGCCGGTACAGAGTCAGCCCTACAGGCACATCCGGGATTTGCAATCCTTCAAATAATGTTTGAACAGCAGGCCCAGAAGGACCTTCAACAATTCAGCCGAGGTGTGTTCCCGCCAGAGATATACGCTGAAATCCTCTCGTATGTCGACCCCTGTACCGAACTTGCCTGCAGCAAAGTCTCTCCCGTTTTTCGTAGCATCTGCCAGGCACAAGTGACTACCCCCGATGGACTAGTCACCAAATTTGAGACTATAGACGGTGAAGAAGATAAGCCGAGGTCCTACCATCAATTGGTCCCTTTTGGTACGTTCACATTCAAGGATATGAAAGTAGCAACGGTTGCACAGCCCTGCCGCCATTTTGATGACTTTCCAACCGCGTTTAACGGACCTCAGTGGTGTGCTATCATTGGTACCGGAGAAAGGAAATGTGTTATCGCCCAAGCCCGTATCCCCATTATTACGACTGACCTTGACGAAGAACAAGATGAAGATAGTGATGACTAGTAATATGGCAATTTCGATTGACATGGCCCCATTATCATATATTCTTTTTACTATTAGATCTTAGGACTTTCCTTGTTAAACAAGCCATTGGTATGCCATATTTCGTTCATTCTTGAAATTTCCTAGGGCATCGTACCGTTGAAGTATGCATAATCCTGCCTGGGCAGTGACACTTTTTCCAGAAGGCAGATGTGATTTTGTTTCCTCACATCTCGCCGGGTCAATATCTCATACCAATCTCTGGGATTAGAGACGGCAGCCCGGCATAGAGGGGTGCTAGGCCGCCATCTTTGGAATGTATATCCTAGATGTCAGTGAAGCTTCCACGAGATGTGTCTCCAGCCACTTCAAAGCAGTAGTATTGCCATATTGAGTGGGCATGGAGCGAAGTTGTGGTCAGTACCACATATGTAGGTAGTAAATACCCAGTCCAATAAACGGGTATATGGCCTCAACAATTTGGTCACCTTAGCAGCCCTCCTAAATCTTTCTCCATCCCCGTAACCCTAGCCTCTAGACGCCGTTTCTTCGCCTCCAGTTCTCGAATAGCTTCAAGTTCCAGCTCGATATCTTCATCCGTAACTTCCACGGCCTCAGCGGTATCCTCTGTCTTATGGTAATCACTGTCATCATATTGGGAGAGATTCATTCGTTCCAGCTCTTCTGCCTGGTCAGCAACACGCTTTTCAAGGTACTCGAGAGAAGCCGTTATTTCGCGATGTCGAGATCGTATAGAAGCAATCTTCTCCTTGGCTCCTGCTACCGGGCTATTCAAGGGTTTAGTAGGCAGTCAATTCGCCTTGGTATCAAGTGAAAACGTACTATACGTTACAAAGCATTTCTGCGCCGCGTAACAGAACCTCAATGTCCAAACCGCTCTTTGTAGTTCTATCTGATGTTGGGGCAGTGGACCGTTTGATAGCATCCATCATATCACCGCCAAGTACCCGCGCAACGGCGGACTGGTTCGTACGGTCTCTAACGGCGTATATGCGGCTGATCATAGACTCTCGTTCGGTCTCTGCTACGAACATCGTACCTCGACGAGTGGCTCTGCGCTGGGACTTGGTGGTGTTATCGACAGAGAAGAGGGCTCGTTCATGGGCCTCCGTGTCACGGATAAGAGTGGTGATGTCATGCTGGCCGAGAAGCGCATTGACAAATGGTTTTGGAGGAGGGAATCTAGAGATAGACGTATCAGATCGAGTAATTGTCTGTATATAGAGGTTGGATCTTACGATAAGTCTGCTATCGCGGACGCGGATAGAGAGATCTGCTCTAGGTGGTTCTGTAACAGGCTCATTGTGACATCAACGAGGGAGATATCCAATTTACGCCGTGACAATTCAAGGATACCCCTTATAAACAGCTTGATCATTCAATTTCTATCATCATTTCTTCTTCATCTCGACTCTAATTCTTCTTCAACCGGAGGTAAACAGAAAAGATAAGCGTTGGTGAACTGGCTTAGTCATCAAGTTTGCTCTTTACAAAAACAGACCACCAACTATATAATCTGAGGAAGGGAATAGAGATATAAGATATTATCAAATGCTTGGTAAGTCCTACCTTGTATGAGCTCGAGTTGAGTTATTCACACAGTGCCATTGACCAGATATGTGCGAGTACTAGCGGTTACTCTATATGTTAATCGAGCCAAGTGTCTCTAAGTGGTCTGCCTACTGTTTGATTTCTGAGAGGAATCTATATCCAGGTAGAGATATATTCCCCCGGCCCCGTTGGTATTTCAGGCTGTCTGCATCAGCGAGGAAAGACAGGGATAAACCCCATATTGAAAAGGTACTGAGGGCCAGTACCTGTATATAGAGGTAGTGGCCGGGTCAGCATCTGGTGTAACCGTGGAAACCGAGCAAAAGTTTAAGGAGGTAATCGGCTAGGATCGAGTATAGGGTATCATCAAGGATCTTGATCTCTCGAGACTGTTCTGTGCTCAGAGTATTCTGTATTTTCACTACCAACGCTGGGACGACCGATGCCTATAACAGCCGGACTACTTCCTGTCCGACCGTCTGACGCGGTAGTCGGCCAGTATGAAGCCTGCTGCCACCTTTCTCGCGCCAGCCTGCAGCTACGAGCCTTCCAAGCCATGATTAGAATGCTGTCTGCTTGCTCATCGATGTGTGCGCTGTACCAATCGAGTCTCTTCTTCTTCCGCCTTCTCTGGCCGTCTGTCCTCTCAGCGTCCTCCCTCGCCGCCATAGCCCGGCCCTTCCACCCCCCTCCTACCGCCTCTCCCATCGTCCATCGCCCGCCCTCCCAGTCTTCCCTCGCTGTTCTTTGGTCTCGTGTCTCTGCCGTCTCTTTCTGTCGTCGTCTCCCATCTTCCGCGTCGTCTCAGCTGCCTGCTTATTCACTGCTTAGTCATCCACGCTAAGCCCTTCTGCGACGTTCCCTTCGCATCATCTTGACCTCTTCGCAACATCAAGAAAAACAACCAAAAACATCACCGTCAGCGTCTTCAGTTGCAAACGCCCGCAGCCTCGTTTCCCCGTCTTTGCCAGCCGTTCTTGGAGCTTCGCCGTGTCTGTTTTGTTCTCGTTTTGCCCGTACTTGCCTGCTGAAACGCCGTCTTCCTCTCCTTAGCACGCCTTAGTCACTTCGCCTCCCGGCTCTGCTGTCCTTTAAACGCCCGGCCCCCAGAAGAAGCTCTCGCCGTAGGGAGCTGCTCATTAGCTTCAGACACGATGCCAGCAGAGAAGCGGACGCTTCGCTCTAACCGGTCAGACGCCTCGGCGGACGGCGAGAAACCCCGTTCGAACTCGCAGAGCTCTAGCTCCAACAAAGATAAAGCTGCTCCGACTCGCTCGGCGGCGTCACGAGGCAAGGCAGCGCCAGCCAGGAAACCGGCCTCAGGCTCAAAAAAGGCCACGCCCGAGGGCTCTGATGTTGTCGAAAATGGTGTGAACGGTCCTGAGGACGCGCAGATGAGTGAAGAGCATTTGAACGGCTCTGTATCACCCAAGCAGCGCGACGATAACGACGGCGACGAAGAGATGACTGTCGTTGTTCCTCCGTCAAAAGCTTCAAGACTGTCGGGAGAGCCTGAGAAGAGCCGAAACGAGTCCAAGATGGACACAGATCAGGACGAGGATGTCCAGCAGGATGAAGTGGTTGACCCGGCTGAGAAAGCGAAGACTGGTATGTCTCTCTACACTTCTGTATTTCGTGATAATAATGATGATGACGGTCATGGAATACTGACAAAACTACAGATATCCGGACAAATTTCACATTACTCGAAAGGGCTGTGATGCATTTTGATCTACGCTTTACCCTTAGGGTACTCCGAACAATCTCGTCTATGCGTAAACACCTGTCTGCAGACCTACTCGCCAGCGTCATCACATCCGCCTATCAACGTTCGGATTCTACCGCTTCCTTCCTTCTGGCTGCCCTTGATAGACAGTCTGCGTTTGATAACGTTGCCGAAGATATTGATATGGAGGATGCCTCAGACATGAAATCGTCAGCTACGCCCGCCGCAAAGACAGCCGCTTCATCCAAAGAGACCCTGCCCGAGATCGACGTCTATCTTTCCATTCTAGTTCAGATTCACCTGTATGATGCAAAACGCATAGAGAAAGGTGCTCAGTTCTCGCAGAAGCTGGTCGAGAAACTGAGGACGCATAACCGAAGGACCCTGGACTGTTTGGCTGCTCGAGTGTACTTTTATTATTCTCTCTTTTTTGAACAGCTAAAACCGCTTCCGCCTTCGCCGACTGCAGCCGTCATATCCATCAGACCTTCGCTCCTTGCAGCTCTTCGGACCGCTGTTCTTCGCAAGGACACCGACATACAGGCAACCGTCACCACTCTCTTGCTTCGCAACTACCTGTCTACCTCCCACATCTCCCAAGCTGATCTCTTCATCTCTCACTCCGAATTCCCCGTCGGTGCGTCCAACAACCAGATTGCTCGATATCTCTACTATCTAGGTCGGATCCGAGCCATCCAGCTGCGCTATACCGATGCACACCAACATCTGGTGGGCGCCACCCGGAAGTCCCCGTCGACTCTAAGCGCGGGTGGCTTCTACCAGGCATCGATGAAGTTACTTGTTGTCGTCGAGCTGCTCATGGGAGACATACCTGACCGTGCCATCTTCCGCCAGGCAGCTCTCGAGCGTGCAATGCATCCTTACTTCTTGCTCGTACGAGCCGTCAGCGTGGGTGATCTAGACGGCTTCCAGAAGATCGTCCAGAACTACGGCCCCGTCTTCCGAAAGGACAGCACGTACACGCTTATTCTCCGACTACGACAGAATGTCATAAAGACCGGCATCCGCATGATGTCGTTGTCATACACTCGTATCTCCCTACGTGACATCTGCCTTCGTCTCGGCCTGGATAGTGAGGAGTCTGCCGAGTACATTGTTGCAAAGGCTATAAGGGACGGTGTTATCGAGGCATCGTTGGACCATGAGAAGGGCTACATGAAGAGCAAGGACATTGGCGATGTGTACGCTACCCAGGAGCCTGGAGAGGTCTTCCACGAGCGTATCCAAGCTTGTCTCGGCCTCCATGACGAGAGTGTCAAGGTATGTTTGCTCTTTCGATAGAAACGCTGTCTGATTTTTTTTTTTACGATGTATATATACTAATATCTGTCTCAGGCAATGAGGTTCCCCATGAACCAGCACCGTCTTGAGCTGAAGAACGCCCAGGAGGCCCGCGAGCGAGAGAGGGAGCTGGCCAAGGAGATTGTGGAGGGAGACATGGACGACGATGACGCCGGTGGCGACTTCGAGGGTATCTAGTCGACCTGTACCTGTACATGGACAAGACACAATCCCTGAACAACCTCCTCCTCCATCATATCCACCCACATCCACATCCCCAAGCTCTCCCACGCTCTCGACCTCCTGGTTCTCATTACCTCATCCGTGCTGCTTCATCTCACGCCTCTTAGGGCTGCCGTTTTCTTTCCTCGCCGTCGACCAGAGACCAACGGCTAACGACCAAGAGACATGCACCTCTGGCGAGCTCGAGAGCCAGCTCGGATGTATGTACAGTCCTTCAACCGACAAGCCAGGGCTTACTACTTTTTTTCCCTTTCTCTCTTCTCTCCTGTGTCTTTGCTACAACAACATCCCGATGTAATTTTCTGCCTCCCTTTGTCTGTCCCTTTGCCTAGACACCAAGCTCGAATCCATCTGCATTCCATTTATCCGTCTTCATATCAAGCAGTAAGAAGCAAGTAAATAAATTAAATCGTTTAGTTGCATAGTTATGGGGCCTCGGTGAGGTCGGCTGCGACGCTCGGCACGGAGAAATGCAAACACCCAAATGAACCTTAGCTTTTTTCCGCAGCCAAGTTTTGGACGTTGAAAAAAAAGTACAACACTGGACGTGCAACAACAGAACACCACGGTGCACCAGCTTGCACCACAGCGCATGGCCTGGTATATACACCATATATCCTGCTTCAATTGTCTATAGGAGACACTGCTGCAGGTACCTGTTATATTTCCGTCTCGTCTCTACACCACGGACGGACCTAGGAACCCGTCCCGACTTCTACCGCGAGGACACTCATCTTCAACAGATCAACCAGCGAAAAGACCAGAATAAAATAACTCCCAACTCCCGAAGAAATGAGAGCTCGACCAAGCTTGACGGCCTACGGGCTGTCTCTGCGAGCTTCACAGACCTTGCGACCGGCCTCAATATGCTCGCGATGTCTTCACAGCCGCTTCACCATCTCTCTCTCCATACCTCCAGCCCACATCACAGCTCGCAATTACCATCCCTCGCGCCGAAAAGACCAGTCTGCACTCGCATCAGCCATGTCTGCGGCCCAGAACCTGTTTTCAAAGGAGATATCAAAGGCTCCTCCGCCTCCGCTGCCGTCGAATCCAGGCTCACTACCTGCCAACGTCTCTGTTGACCCACTCAGGATGGTAGGCAAGGAGTTGAAGTTTCTCAAGAAGAATCTGCGCTGTCTTCTGGGCTCCGGACACCCAATTCTAGACCAGGTTGCGAAATACTACGCTCAGAGTGAAGGAAAGCAGGTCCGGCCCATGTTGGTGCTGCTTATGTCTCAAGCCACAGCATTGACGCCCAGCTGTGAAAAACGTCGAGAACGAGACCAACTGCTTAGCTCGCTACTATCCACCCCTTCTTCGAGCTCGTCAGGAGCGTACATTAACGATTCGATCAATTCCCCGGCCATTCTGGCTGATACAAATCCCGATCTCATGCCGCTTAGTTCACCTACCCGAGATACCGTATATGCGCCTACCAAGGAAGATTCCAAGGATAACTTTACCAACGTCCTCCCTTCGCAACGCCGCTTGGCTGAAATCACTGAGCTGATTCATACTGCTTCCCTCCTACATGATGATGTCATTGATAACGCTGTGACTCGCCGATCAAATCTCTCTGCCAACCTTGCGTTTGGAAACAAGATGGCCGTGCTGGCTGGAGATTTCCTTCTTGGCCGTGCATCCGTCTTCATCGCCAGGTTACGTGATCCCGAAGTCATCGAGTTGCTAGGAACCGTCATGGCCAACCTGGTCGAAGGTGAATTCATGCAATTGAAAAACACGATGCTTGATGAATCAAATCCGGTATGGTCCGAAGATATCATCTCATATTACCTGCAAAAGACATATTTGAAATCCGCCAGTTTGATCAGCAAGTCCTGCCGTGCAGCTGCGTTGCTGAACCAGAGTGGCCCCGATGTCGCGGAAGCAGCTTATCTCTTTGGAAGGAACCTCGGATTGGCCTTCCAGCTCGTTGATGATATGCTAGATTATACCATCAGTGGAGAGGAGCTAGGTAAGCCTGCCGGTGCCGACCTAGAGCTAGGATTAGCTACTTCGCCCTTGTTATTTGCCTGGAAACAACGGCCAGAGCTTGGAAAGCTCGTAGGCAGAAAATTCTCTCGTGAAGGAGACGTCCAGTTGGTATGTTAATACCCATCCATTGATACGAAGCCGTTATTATGCGCTCTAACATCTATGTAGGCCCGTCAAATTGTTTCACAATCTGATGGTCTCGAACAAACTCGGGCTCTTGCCCAACAATATGCCGACGACGCCGTTGCAGCCATCAGCAAATTCCCCGACAGTGAAGCAAAGGACGGCTTAATCGAAATCTGCCGCAAGACCATCAACCGAAGGAAGTAATTTATCACAAAAGAAAAGAAAAAAGTTACTCAAAAAATATCACCAACCACAGGATATAAATCGCCTGCCTACAAATGGCACGCGTAGATGGACGGATCTAATATGTTCGCGAAGTCCGGCGTCCCGTGGTGGCCTGATCCATATATGTTCGTCTCCTGTTGGAGAAATAAAATCAACGGAAAAAAAACAATGGGATGAGCGCATGATGGTAGACGCTCATGTAGAACACCGCTTTGGCGTTTTTGAGGATTCTTTTTCCTGAACTTATTATTACTGTGAACCTGTCACCCTGGGAATCATGGTGCAAGATTAACGGAAGATATAGACGGGCAAAAGTGGCTGGGAACGGTGAGGTGGTCTATCTGTACATATATATGTTCTGTAGGATAGAGGATCAATGCCTTCATTATCGCTAACTACTGTGTTTCGATGTAATATCAAGCTGGAATAGGTTTATTGATTGCTCTAGTAACTGCTCGTTAATATCATACACATTCATGGGGAAGCCATTAGATAGGTGTTCCCGGGTTACTCCAAGAAACAGATGGCCTCAATTCATTCTCCTGATCACTCTCATCCTGTGAGACCAATCGTACGCCTCCAATTCCACAACTCTGGGAGGTTCTCTGACTATCAAGACTCATCTTTGGTCTAAGGCCGCTGGCCGGGGATATCGGGGACAAGTGGGAATCGCCTGGAGGTATATCATTCGATCTAACTTTCAGGCTCGGTTTATCCTGCTCGTACTGCCCCTTCCTTGCCCGCTCGTATTCAGCCACTAAAGACCGACAATACGCCGCAGCCTGAACACTCAACGCATAATCAGCTGGCGCACATTTAGCATGGTTCCTTGCTAGTGGAGGGGCACCGGCAGATACTAGAAGTCGAAATGTTTTCAAATTCCCCCATGCACTCGCGTAATGAAGTACAGTGTTGCCCACTGAATCAGTCATTGTCAAGGACGCTCCGCGTTTAATAAGTTTGGAGACAGTACTTGTATCCTCGAACGAAGCTGGGTTCGAAGCTGATGAAGATGCCCTTGGTCTTTGTCTTGGTGGTACCAATGAAGATGTATTCGACGTCTGGCTTGAAATATTGGAGCCCTGTGACGCAAGCATTAACGCCGTAGCTCCGTTCTTATCCTGCCAGTCGATAGAATGTTTGAAGACGGTAGCCAGGTAATCCGCACAATCCGCGTGTGAATTTGCAGCCGCTAGATGAAGCGGTGTCGAAGAATCCGTATTCAGACTTATTCCAGGGGCCCCATCAAAGTCCATGAAAGCTATATCTGGCTCGCATGAATCATGGCCCAGACTGACCAGCAGCTTGACTACTTCGAGGTTGCCTAGTATTGCGGCCAGGTGAAGAGAGGTGTTGCTCTTGTCGTCAAAATCGGGGTTATGCAAATATTTTGGATATTTCTTAGCTATCCGTTTGACTAGCAGAGCATCGCCTTCGAGAATGGCCCGGCGCAGGCGGAGTTGAACCGGTAAGTCGTACCTTGTTGACGGTCAGCCATGTCTCCAAATGCACATCAAGTGTAAGGACCAAGAAGACTTACATTTCTTCTACATGGTGCGGCTAGCTTCCAAACCTCGGTATACTCCGGTTTGGAGGCCAGAAGAGCTTTGACGACACTTTATCAAGTTCACCTTGCGGTCTCTTTCGCTTGGTCGTCTTATCTTTTGTTGTCATCCTTTTGGAGTCGCGAAACTCGAGCCCGAGCGTCATTATTCACACGTGACCGCGGCTAGTGTCATGGGGCTTGGCAAGAATTAGGTTTGTTAGTCATCATATTTTGGCGCTAATATTTTTAGCCGCGGCTTAAGCGAGCTCTTATTTTTGGGAATCCGACGATCAAAAGCTGTGAACGAATAAGTGGTTTCTTTTGGCATCACACTTATGAGATGGCATTGAAAGCAAATCTTCCCAGCTCACTGATGCTGCTTGTTATGAATAATTTGTTTTTCTTCTGATTGAAGTTGGACATATACCAATAATCATCTCAAGGGTCAATAGACTATATTGAACTCTGCTTGCCAGGCCTTCGTAAAGATGGCCACCGTCTAGCCGTTGATTTGTTCCAGGAGAGAGATTGGGATCCTTGAGCCTTGAGTGGTAAACCATAGAACCCACTCTTTCGGGTACGGAGTATATATACCCTCAGCAACCTTCCGAATAGCTTGAGCTGTGTGTTATGGAGGGACCATATTTCCTGGGCCCTTATTGCTATCCAAGTGCTATTTACGGCCCTTCCCACCGGCATAACTCACCATCAAGCTCTCCATTTATATATCCTTATACTATCAGCTTATGGGTCAGGCCTAGCTCAAGCTATCGTTGGCGGACGGCAGCAAGGAAGCCTACCCTTTCCAAGTTTCTATTCAAGAGCTCCCATAGATGCGGCGGCAGCATCACCAGCAAAGACCATATCCTTACCGCTGCCCATTGCCTCAAAGATCTAACACCAAGTCAGACAGGGTCCGGGTAGGCTCAGTGCAAACATGCCTCTGGTGGGCAACGGGTGCGGATAGCGAAAATAATTATGCATCCCGAATTCGACGCTAAGACCAAACAAAAATATATCGCTATCCTCCAGCTACAGAATAGCCTGGTGTTTAGACATT